ACTTCATTATACTTTATAGGGATGCAAGGTGGGGGGGGGGGGGTCTGAAATTCTGATGAATGCAATATACAATGTGCACACAACCATGAAAACCAATAGTAATTGGGTGTTGACATGTTTTTCATGTGCATATTCTCACATTTTTCATTGGTATTTTGTGAGTAAAAAAAAAAACTTTTTGGTGAAATTCAAGAAAATCTGGCAATAATTTTCAATGGTATCCATCTACCTTAAAAACTACGCATGACAAGACTGACACTCAAAGAAACTTTGACATACAATTGAATAGATTCTGAAGGAAGTTCAACCCAAAAAATAGTAACACATTGTGTGTATGAATGAATTGTTATAAGTGGGCTGGCACCAACTAGGATACAATAAGACCTCCATCTCCAGGGTCAGACCCTCCACCAAGCAACCGTAGTACAATAATAGATTTGTCTTAGTATACCTCTAAATTCACTCATGGAATACAAGACATAATGTTTTTATTTCAAATTTGTATAATTGCCCCTTTTCTAGTGTCTTTGGATTAATACATCACTGCATACATGTAGTGTTATCATACTTTACCAATATTAACAATTACCCGATATCTTTGCAGTTAGTTTGTCTGTATGTGTGCGTGTGTGTCCATGTGTTCCACTGATATCTCAAAAACTATACCTCTGTTTTTGATGAAACTTGGTGTATAGATGCTCTTCGTCAATGTGCAGATTAGGTTTTGGTAAAAATCCATGCATATTAATTACCTAATTTGCATGATAATTAGATAATTTTTAGGTGTTCCATGACTGTTCCACTAATGTCTAAAGAACCACTCATTGGATTTTGATGAAACTTGGTACATAGATGTTCTGAACTAATGCGCAGAATTGATGAGTTATGAGTAAAATCTGTGCATATTAATTACCTAATTTGCATAATGATTAATAAATTTTTGACTTTTCCACTGATATCTCAAGTTATTGTTCTCCAGAGACTCCATGCCAAGCATCACAGGTAATTTGCATAACAATACATCTAATTTGCATGATAATTAGTTTCTCCAACAAACATTGTGATACAGTAACTACAATAAAGAAGAGATATTTATATAACTCATATATTTTATATCATTTTTACATCACTTCATTGTATTTTATGTGTGCATCAAGTCAAACAAGGTTTGAAATAGAACAGCAGAAAATGTATTATTATCCATGGAGCTAACTGATTCATCATTATTTTGTGTAAGTACAGTCAGTGCTAATGCCCATGACACTGTCAGTTCATATGACATGTGGAAAAACATTTTTTGGTTAAATTTGTAAAGTCTGCCAGATTGTGGGTTATCAAAATATGACTTAGAAATTAATAAATCAATAATGATTTTTTGTTTCTTACAACGGCATTTCAAAACTCCTGTCAGCGATTTTTCATTGATCTATATATACCTTATACGTAATGGCGCGATCACGGGTATTCTCCACTGCTGTTGCAATCATTGGTCCTTTTTGGTTTAAAAATACACAAATTCAGAATGTTTTAATTAAAACGATTCATTGACGATTATGTTAGAAATTACATCAAAATTGCCAACGAAATGTTGTTTTTAAACATCGCGGAAAAACATGCACTCTGCGTCGCCATCTTTGTTACCTCGATCGGAATCCTCCCTGTAACCCAGCATGCACTGGTTGCAATGTCACACCATGCGTTACGTCGCTTCATTGGCGTCCCATGGTAATGAGGCACTCTATGAATGCGGTATTTCTAGAGGTCAGGGTTCGTTTTTTTTTCGGCCCTCTCTCAGTTGAATAATTTTTTCTTCGATTTATTTACATTTTTTTTCCCAATGCGACTTAATTTCACTTGGTTTTTTTTTAATTCTTGGTAATTAGTGTCATCGGCGATGGAGTAGTAAAAACCGCAATTAACAACTGTGCAGCAATTTGAGATAGATCTTCCTGACGCGATGGGCAAATTATTCCTTTGCAGGCCCGATCCCCTTGAAAGACTTCTTGTAGACTTCCGTTTTATCATTGTTTTGTAAGGCTAACAAAGGCAGGATTACCTTTTGATCACTACATGTTATTGTTTCAAAGATGTGCAAGACAAGACTGACACTTGTAAACAATACAACAACTTAAGCATCGCAGACAGGATATCAAGAATCACGGGCGAAACGAAAGTGACACGGCTATTTGTCTAAGCGATGCGAGCCCGCGGTGTCTGTCTCAAGTACTATTCGTCACATTGATTTTCAGCTTTTGATATTTCAAGTAGTAATCACTACATTTCAATGAAACTTGGTACATACTCAGGGACTATGCAGAGATAGATTTTTTTTGGGTAAATATTTGTGCATATTAATCACTTAATTGGCATAATTAGTTAATTTCCAGCTTTTCACTGATATCTCAAGTACTAATTATCACATTTCAATGAAACTTGGTACATAGATCCTCTGGGACAATAGACAGATCTGATTAGTTTAAGGTTGAAATCTGTACATGTTAATTACCTAATTTGCATAAATAACCATTGTTAAGCTTTCACACTGATATCTGAAGTACTAATTATTCCATTTCAATGAAACTTAGTATAGAGATACTCTAAGACAGTTCACAAACCTAATTAGTTTT